CTTAATTTTCTTTCTTTGTCATTAACATTTACTGTTGTAAATACGATGTGCCTTTGCGTGGGTCTTTTTGGGTTCATATTTGTTTGGGACTCTCTGTACTTGTGTGACTCCCCTGCCCAATCCCCCACCCCTATGCCATGGAAGTTTTCTGTCATTATTTCTTCAAATAGTTTTTCTGTTCCTTTCTCAGCTTCTACTCCTTTTGGAACCCTATTATGCTGATGTTGCTTCATTTCATGTTGTCCCAAAGCTCCCTTAAACTCTCCTGCTTTTTAATTGTTTTTTCCAATTGCTGTTCATATTGGGGGGGGGGGTTCTACCCAGTCTTCTAACTTTCTGATTCAGTCCTCAGCTTCTTCTAGTCTACTATTCAAACCTTCCACTCTGTTCTTTATTGCAGCTATGTCATTCTTCATTTCCTCTCGATTCTTTTTTTTAATTAAATCTTTATTGTTCCGATTATTACATTTGTTCATCTTTTTTCCCCCCATAACTCTCCTCTACCCAGTTCCCACTCCACCCTCCTCCCTCACTCCCCACCCTCTGTCCTCATCCATAGGTGTACGATTTTTGTCCAGTCGCTTCCCGCATCTCCCACACCCCTTCCCCACCCCCAAGGATAGTCAGTCCATTCCCTTTCTATGTCCCTGATTCTATTATAATCACCAGTTCATTCTGTTCATCAGATTATTTATTCACTTGATTCTTAGATTCACTTGTTGATAGATGCGTATTTGTTGTTCATAATTTGTATCTTTACCTTTTTCTTCTTCTTCCTCTTCTTAAAGGATACTTTTCAGATTTCATATAATACTGGGGTTTTTTTGTTTGTTTTGGGGGTTTTTTTCTCCCTTTTTATTTTATTGCTAAAAGTATTTCAAAGGGTATTACATATGTGTCCCTTTTTTCCCCCCCACCCTTAACAATCCCCTGGCTGCCCTGTAATACTGGTTTGGTGGTGATGAACTCCTTTAGCTTTTTCTTATCTGTGAAGCTCTTTATCTAACCTTCAATTCTGAATGATAGCTTTGCTGGGTAAAGTAATCTTGGTTGTAGGTTCTTGCTATTCGTCACTTGAATATTTCTTGCCACTCCCTTCTGGCCTGCAAAGTTTCTGTTGGGAAATCAGCTGATAGTAGTATGGGTATTCCCTTGTAGGTAACTGAGTTTCTTTCTCTTGCTGCTTTTAAGATTCTCTCTTTGTCTTTTGCTCTTGGCATTTTAATTATGATGTGTCTTGGTGTGGTCCTCTTTGGATTCCTTTGGTTTGGGGTTCTCTGCACTTCCTGGACTTCTAAGTCTATTTCTTTCACCAGGTAGGGGAAGTTTTCTGTCATTATTTCTTCAAATAGGTTTTCAATATATTGCTCTCTCTCTTCTTCTGGCACCCCTATAATTCGGATGTTGGTACGCTTGAAGTTGACCCAGAGGCTCCTTACGCTATCCTCATATTTTCGGATTATTTTTTCACTTTGCTTTTCTGGTTGGGTGTTTTTTGCTTCTTCGCATTTCAAATCTTTGACTTGATTCTTGCGCTTCTCTGGTCTTCTGTTGGGAGTCTGTATAATATTCTTTATTTCAGTCAGTGTATGCTTAATTTCTGGTTGGTTCTTTATCACAACATCGAGGGTCTCATTAGATTTCTTGAGGATCTCACTATATTTATCAGCGGTCTCACCAGTCTTTTTGAGGGCCTTACTAAATTTATCGGCGGCTTCTAGACAGTTCTTGAGAGACCTTAAAAGTGTGGTTTTGAACTCTATATCCTCCATTTCTGTCATTTGTGTCCTGTTTCTTTGTCTCCGCATTTTTTATGCTTTCTTGGTGCACCCCCTTGTGGTCTTTGTGCGCAGTCTTGTTGTAGTTAAGCCTTGATTGTAGTAAGTAATACTGGGGGGAATTTGACCTCCAGGCCAACTGGCTTTGAGAATTAGCTATGTCTGCAGTGGGAGAACTTCTGTCCTCTAGGGAGGTGCTAATCTAACCTTAGCCTGAGGCTATCCCGCAAATGCCTCTGTGCAGGGCTTGGGCAGGCGGGTCCCAGAGGATCAACAGGGAGGACAGAGCGAGCAGTTATGGCTGCTCTCAGTCCGGTTCCCAGAGGCTCTGCCTCTCAGAGTCCCAGCAACCGCTGCAAACCTTGGAGAGAAAGCTGCCTTCAAGTTCCGACCGAAGCCAGACAGTCCCGCTTCTCCCGTTTGAGTCTGGATCCCTAGAGACTCACCCAGATCTGGAGCTCAGAGCCTGAGACTCCCTCCTGATTGAAACAGACAACCGCGCCCTCAGCCGCCAGCCCACTCTGCACGCACCTCTGCACCTTAGTATTTGACTTCAGCACTGTGCCTCCTCTGAGTCTCGGTATGCTATTATCTTTCCTCCTAGTTGTAAAACTTCCACTCAACCAGCCTTCCTGTGGTTCTAGGTGATGTTCGTTCCATCTTTTAGTTGTATTTTTAAAGTGGTTGTGCGAGGCAGCAAACTCCGGCATTAACCTATGCTGCCATCTTCGTTTCTCCTTGTAGTTGAGCTTTTAATGCTTTTGGCCCTTTCGTGGGTGGGGTTAACCCCTCAAACAGGCTGACTATAAGGATAAACCTCAATCCCTGTGCACGAGTTACTGCCTTTCAAGGCTGTGTTGCTCCCAGCAGGGTCTGGCACCTGCCTCAATCTTCCTTTGGTTTTGCAACTTGTATGGTAAATTGGGTTGAACTTGATGTGGTCTGAAGCCCACCACTAGTTTTGTTGGTTTGGGGTCCATTTGGGTGGGGTTCAGGTATAGGTTGATGTCAGATGTTGTGGGTACCTGGCCTTGGGCTACCTGTCTGGAGATACCACACTATTCACTGTGGCTCCATCTACTGGGCCTTTGTGTACAAGGATTGACTTCCTTCAGCTTAGAGTTGGAGGCAGATCTGTAAAAGATCTGATGCTGAGGTTCACCTGTCAGCTACTCCCTCTCACCCAGAGGTTGCCTGGTCTTTCTCCAGAGCCTTTTGAATTAAGACTGTAGGATGACCCAGGGTAGCTGTGAGCCACAGACTCTTCACAGTTTGTGAGCTCAGTAGGACAGAGCAACTATGTACAGAAGATGGAGCTAGAGGGCCCTTATTGGAGGTTATATGGTCAGGCATCGATGAGAGGAATGTGGACCTTATTCCAGACACTAACCACTCAGCTTCTGCCAGTCTCCAACTTCAGCTTTCCCAGAAGGGACTTCTTGCAGGTTCAGGTTGGATGCAACCTGCTGTCCCCTCTGCAGGAGCAAACTCACTGGGTGGAGGCACCTGGCTCAGGAGTACAAATAAAGAGTCTCTTGTTGGGGGAGATGCCAACCCATCCTAAAGGAGGGGGCCTAGCACCTTCCTCCTGGTTCCAGTCAGTAGCTTCTGAGGGACACACACTATGAATGTCCTAGCTCCCAGAAGCTCTCCCTTCTCCCCCAACCCCTAGAAATGAGCCCAGCAGGGCAGGGAATCAGGGAGTTGGAGGAGCATATTCCCATTGAGGGTGGTGCCTGCAAGCCCGTTGGAGGGGGGACAGGCTCTTTTTCCCCTTTCCAGGATAGTGCAGGCTGAGATGGCAGGGGGTAGAGGAGTGGCTCCTCCATCATGTAGTCACACAACCCAGCACCTGCCCATTTGATTCCTGGACAAAAGCCCTTCCAGGAGACATGCTTTGAGAGGCCCAGCTCTGCACGGCCCTCTGATTCCCTGTGCAGCTGAACTCAGCAAGACAGGGTCAGCCATGTGATTCGACATGTTGCAGGGTGGGCAGTGCCAGCTGTGTGCTAGAGGTGTGGGAGACTGGTCCCCTTTCCAAAGTCACACAGTCCAGTCATTTTCCGAGTCTCCATCAAGAGCCTCCCCAGAAAAACAGCACCCAAAAGTTCACTGCTGGATGCATTCTGTAGACCCCTCCACAGGACCTGGGCATGACAGAGTGTCCTCACCAGCCATTGGAGGACAAGACAATGCACTCCCTAGGCTGGTGCTATAATAGGAGTGCTTATGCCTGAAAGATGGCGTCTGGATTTTCAGCAGACTCCTTCTCTCCCAGGCGAATTGAATATCCACTGATTTTTCACTACTAGATGGGTCCTCTTCCCATCTCTGTTGCTTTGGGTTGAGTATCCTGGCATGAAGTTGAGATCCCGTGCTCCTTGGGGGCAAGGGAGTTTTGCAGCATAGATATCTTCCTGGCTTCTCAGCCACTGCATATCGATGAGAGGGCCAACCCTTTCTGTGTCTGTACCCTTCTTACCAGTCTCTATGTGGCTTCTTCTGTAAATCCTTGGTTATACTACTTTAGTTCAGCTAGTCTTCAGTTGATTATTCAAGTTTGATTGCTCTATAATTTATAAATCTGGGGTTGGTGTCAAGTGAGTATAGCTGCCACCTACTGGTTTTTTCCAAGTTGTAGAGTATAATGTGAGATTGTAGAGAGTAACAATGGGGTAGAATTATTGAGAATCAAGACAAAAAATTTAAGTAACCATTATGAGAAGTTGGTAGAAGAACAGGAAAAAAAAATGCTTGGTCTTTCTTCTCCAATATAAGAAGTAGGTGATTTATTACATGTTGGCTCACTGACCAATTTCTTTCTTTTTTCTAGGTCATGTAACAAATTACATATTGAGAATTAAAAAGTTTAATGACTTCTCCATTATTGCCTTTTCCATTGATGTGGGGAAAAACAAAACAATGTTGACTATTTTGTTCAATAATGAGGCATATCATTCAGCTACAACATCTCTGGCAGTGTTAGACAACATCCTCTTCATGTCACTCTCTGGCCCCAATGCTTCCATTAAAGTCTCCAACAAGCCTCAGCCTCTACCTCTTTATATTTCTCATGCAGTGTGCGTACCATTTTCTTTTTATTGGAATTGAGTCTTCATATATCCCCTTGTAATTTGGCCATTACAAGAAAATAGCTACTGAAATCATCATTTTCTACTTTTATTTCATCATTTATTTGAATTTTTATTTCATCCTTTGTAGGCCTACAGAAGGAAGACATATAGTATTACATTTGGCTTTTAGCATGGCTGTTGTAGTCGCTAGCTTTGGCCTCCAGACAGTGACTGAGAGAATCACTAAGGCAAAGCACATCCAGTTTGTGAGTGGGGTCTATGTCCTTACCTACTGGCTTTCTGCTCTCCTGTGGGATCTCATCTACTACTTCATTTCCTGCTGCCTACTGCTGGTGAGTGTTACCTGAAGTTACATGAAGGCTAATTTTTCTATCTCACACACCAGAAATTCCTAATCAAGTAATTGTATCCTAAAATAAAACTTGTAAAGAAGTTTACAAGTTAATTATGTCGGCGAATATATTGTGGAAATGTTCTCCTCATATTCTTTCAGCTGGAGAAAATATTTTTCTTTGAAAAATCTCTCAAATTGGTTTCTTATGTAATTCTCAGCATGATGCCCTGGCCAAAAACTCTAGGATGGACTATTATTTGTCACTTGTCTCTCACTACCCATATTACTTCCCAATGCTGTGTCCTTTGGTAAAATTGGACTATAGAAAACAAGGTAGAATCAAGAACTAAGTAAAGCTTCCTGTTACCATTCACCCCCACGCCCCCCCCACCCCGCCCCCTCCACACACACACACTTTCATACCTCAAACTCAAGATGGCTAGGTCTGCAAAGCAAAACTTGTTTTGACTCAGACAACTGATTTTAGACATTGAGAAAGTGGCTTAAAGAATGTACATGTAAGGATAGTACAGCATCTTTTAATGTAAAGACTTTGCTCATTAAGGAACTTGGCAACTTCTTTTGAATATGCATATATTGAAGTTGAGGAAGATATGAAGCTATGCAGTTACAAGGGGTAAACACAGGAGTAAAAGAGGTAAAGCTCCTTTCTTTGCAAGAGTTACTGGGGAATTAAGTCGAATAGGATAACATCTCAGCCCTCAAATAGTTCACTGTTTAGCAATGGGCACAGCAGTGAAATAGATCATTATAAAATAGCATGCTAATTGCCACTATAATGGATAAACCACCATAGAATGGTAAAATTAGTTATTGGAGGAAAAAAGAGAAACTTTCCGTCTATCTGGCTCCAACAACTTGTGAATATTGCACAGGGCCTAATATTGGTTCTGAAGGAGAACCAGGATCTCACCAGCTAGAACAGCTTCTCAGCATGGGCCAGGGGCTAGGCTGGTTGGGGCAGGGATGATGAGGTAGTGTAGTGAGCCAGTAGTATGTACAGAAGAGTCCCAAGATGCAGAGAGCAGTGTGGGGCTTCCATCATCTCACAACAGTGCACGACTCCAGCGGTGTTCTCCTGCCAGTCTCTTCTGCTCACAGCTCACCAACCAGCCAGCGTAACAAGAGAAAATCACCATCCTCTGAGACGGATGCTCCTCTCATTCTTCACCACAGGAACTTGGGTAGCTACTCTAGACAAGTCTCTGGCTTTACTAGCTCCCTTGTGTAACGCAGTGCACATTGAATCAATCAGAAAACCCCTGGATAATTTCATCTCCCTGTCGAGAATCCATTCTTTCTCTGACTCTTGAAGCTTGGCTGACACACCCAGCTATCCTTTCCTAGTCAATAGGTCTATATAGAGGACTATCCATTATTAATACTTATGCAAATATTGGCATTTATGGCTCATGAGAAAAGTTACTTGTCATATGTTTTTTATGTGTTACATCATTCAATAGTACAATGATGTTGATTCATTATATTTATAGACAAGGAAACTGAGGATCACATAAATAAGTTACCTGCCTAACTTCACTCAGATAGTACAGTTTCAAACCCGGGTTGTGGTTATTCCAAAGCTCATTGTCTTTTATACATTCAAAGTCTTCCTGGATAATATACTACTAATGTATGTTAAAGTCATGTCTACATCTTACTCCAGCTCCTCTATTTTGTTTGTTCTCTCTGTCCTTCTATCTCTTCCTCTCTCTCTCCCCAAAATTTCCCTTAATGATTCTAAGACTGTGTGGTCTATATGGCTTCTTTTTTGCTTTTCTGACTTGAATGTCCCTGGTTTTCAGTGGAATACTCTTCCACCCTGCTCTGCTTCTATGAAATGCCACCAACTGGACTCATTCTTGGACCCAACAAGAGGAGGCAAGATTCTATCATTTTGCCTAGCAGCTAGGATTCCTATTTCACCCCTTCTCTGCCGGTCAGATTCACAAAGCAGGGGATTTTACTGCTCATGTGTCAGAGACAAGGATTAAGCTATGTTGCTGACTCCAAACCCTGATGCATTGTCTTCCCCCAACACTGTTTTCCCAGCCACCCCAGGAGATTGTTGGTGAGGTTTAGTGAAGTCCTCTGCCTTTTCCCATGACTGAGCCCATGCATGAAGGCTCGGGAAAGAAGAACAAGTAACTTTTCTCATGTGTTATGTGACCAGGGACGCTGTGCAGTGAGGCTTCCCTCTCATGCGGTCTGTGTGCCTGTCTTAATGACGGTTAGATATACTATATCCCCACCTTTCTGCACACATAGAATTATTTATTCAGCAAACATTGAACTCCTGCTTGTAAGCTAGTCTATGCTTTAGGCATGGATACAGCATGGGGAAGGTAGACAAGGGCTCATCTCATACTGGTCTCACCAAGGACTTGGATAGCTAGCTCAATGTCACTTTGGAAATATGTCTCTCATAAGCCTTCAGATGCACTATTTTCATCATTGTACAGTTCTGGAAATTTGTCCAGGAGCTACCCTTTTCTCTCAATCAGCCCATTATGCATTGGACACAGATTACTTTGCTAGTATTATTTTTTGCTATTTCATTCTCATTCATTAATTTATTTTTAAGTAAAGAGCCAAGTTAGTATTCACTTTTTTCCCTAAGTAGCTAACCCATTGTTCTACCTTCTTTTTTGACAGCCAACTCCCACTGATTTGAAATGTATATCAACTAATACTCATTTCAGTATATTTTATATTCTTTATTCCATTAATTTGTCTGTAATTTTCCATTACCAATATGTTTTGATTATGGTAGTTTTGTAATGCATTTAATTATGTTTTCTGTATTGACCTTTCTTACCTTTCCCATTAATCTTCTGTGGAATTTCCTGACTATCTTGACATGGTGTGTGTTTTTACATGTAATGTTTAAAATTAGATTATCTAATTTCAAAAATACCTGTTTCTATTTCTATTTAGAGTAATTTTGGGAGAATTTACACTTTTATCATGTTGAGTCATACCTTACCTAAAAATAGGGTATGTGTTTCCATGTATCCAATATATCCAAATAGCTATTTAAGTTTTCTTTGAAATAGATTCTGAGACATCTCTAAGCATTATAAGGCTTGGAACAAAGCTGCTAGGTTACTTGCTATTTTTCTGACTGTATTTATTCTTTTTATTTCACCCTCTAAATTGGAATGGGGAAAATAACTGTAGTTATAGCTGTTCAAGTTCTTTCACCTAAGCTGGCTCATTCTCTACATATACTTTCTTTACACACTATTGCTTAAATATAAACTACCTCTAAGAGCATCATAAGGTTCTAATAGGGGCTATTCTTATTTTAATCCTTCTTTTCCTCTGCTAGTAGCCTTGCTAAACAATTCTGTGATTGCTCCAAAGAGGCATCCTGGCTATCTTTAGAGAAACTGTAATTACCAACTATAATCATACATATTTCTGGAAAATTCTTTAAAAGCTCTGGCAATTCTCCTCCTAATCTAGTGCAATCTAAAGTTATGCTTCTTTGTCTGATTTGCAAATGGTTTAAGAAATAAATGAATAAGGTGGCCCCTGATATGAGGGGCTTAGGGGCAGTCTAAGCGTGTGGCGTTATGCAAGAGAGGTTACATAATATGACAGCAGCCCCAGGGAAAATCTGTAGAGAAAGAGTCTACTTCCTAGGTCATTTGTTTTTCTGGGAAAATTCAGAGTCAGGCTTAAGGCAGACATAATTACTTTTACTTTAATCATGGGGTCAGGGTAGGGAATAAAAAGTAATATTTTCCAAATGGGGGAAGAAAACAGAAAATAAAAGTATAGTCCTTCTGTTCATGAGAGTCCTCTATTGAGGAAGAGGTAATTTAGTTCAGGCTCATAAGCTAAGACTAGCTTTTATTTCAGAAAGGAAGGGAGAGGGAGAAAGAGATGGGAACACCGATGATGAGAGAGAATCATTGATTGGCTGCCTCCTGCACGCTCCACACTGGGGATTGAGCCTGCAGCCTGGGCATGTGCCCTGACCAGGAATGGAACCGTGACCTCCTGGTTCATGAGTTGATGCTCAACCACTGAGCCAACTGGCTGGGTGAAGCTAAGGCTTTTTTTACTGGGTAAGCTGATTTAAGTAATGAGTAGTTTAATGTGCTAATGATGCAGTGCTTGCTGTCTCCTCAGTGTCTGGCTTATCTCCTTGTTGTACTGTGTCCTTCACGTGCCCTTACTCTGCGTTTGTCTCAGGGAGTGTTCAAGTACTGCGAACTGGGTGCATTTGTGGAAGACTACAACTTTCTGGACACAATGCTGATCTTTATGCTGTATGGTTGGGCTACTGTTCCTCTCATGTACCTGGGAAGCTACCTATTTTCTAGTAGCACTGCTGCCTACATCAAACTCACCCTCTTTAACTACTTTTCAACTGTGTTCAGCATCATCGTTGATACCATAATGCACCTCCTTGGTAAGGACTTTCCACACTTTCCCTTTTCTCCAGGAAATATATTAAATAAATGAGGATGAAGGAGCTAGAGAATAAAATAATAATTGTTAAGCACTTACTTTCCAGGCATTTGAAAAACTATGCTTTTTGGAAAACAGCAAATATTTATTGAATATGTGAAAAATAGAAGTTGAAGGAGAGAGGGAGAGAAAGGAAATGGGGAAGAGAAAGGAAGAGAGAGAGAGGCACTGGGCCATCTGAAGGAGCTGGGCTTGGTATCACTCTAGTTTCATTAAAGAAAAAGAAGAGTAAAAAACTACAATATAAGTGTGCAAACCATTTATCTCCTTTGAAATGTTCCCCCTCTCCCAGACTTAGTCCTTCAGTTCTAAAATCTTAACAGCACTCACTTTGAAGCAAAGTAGGGAGATGGGAGGGTGGGAGGTTCTATGGGCTGACTTCTGCCTAATTTAATGCAGCACATCATCCTGACCCTTCAAATGAGATTTTTTTCTGAAGAAAACAAGGAAATATGCAACAAATGTAGTTATCATTAAACCATTTTCCCTTCTTTTGAGTAGATTCTCCCTGTCTTCCTTCTCTGATTATAAAATTTGAAGAGAGTTTGACTGCTGGTGATTATCACAAATAGGATTTTTTGGTTTTAGAACATTCCTTGGTTAAACTTCTGTTTAAACATGAACTTTGAACTGTGTTAATCATTTTAGCTCTGCATGAAGTGGTAGAACTTTACCAAAAGAGCTTCCAGACTCATTCCCTAACTTTAGGTGTTGGCCTTACACAAAAGGAAACAGAGTGTGTGGACCAAGCACATTCTTTTGCAGTCTTCTCCAAGAAGTGGTATTATGCCTGGTGAGGAAGACTTGAGCCCCTGCATAATAAGCCAAGCAGGAGTTATGCATTCGTGCTCATTCCCTGAATCAGTGGTGGTATTGTCAACCACTTTTTTACTACCTATAGATTCTACCTGTGTTCTGTCCTATTACAGTTAATGTGCCACATATGATGTTTCGGTAAATGACAGACCACATATACAACAGTCGCACAGATTGTAACAGAACTGAATTTCCTGTAAGAAATGGAAGGCTATGTCGTTTAGGAAGAATTTTTTCTTTGATTACAGCAATATCTATGGGGCTTGACAATAGGTTCCCTCTCACTCACAGCTCCTCAGTTTTGAGTACACAACTTACATTCCAATCAGTCAACCACTGACCTGTTTCAGCAGAGGAGCCTGTCCCCCCAATACTAATTTTCAAAAGATGCTACAACCCTCCCAGCTCTGGCTTGATGGTCTTCAGAGCACATTATTATAAATTCTTCGTTGAGGACATGAGATCTTGTACAAGAACCCAGACGCACAGGAACTGCCTCAACTAGTATGAAGTCCCACTGACACTTCAGTAAAAGGTTTCTGTGGCAGTTTGGAGCCAGCCCATCCCTGTACTTTGAAATATTTTCAGGTTGTACTGATGTAAAGCATAGGTAAGTTTTATTTCTTTAATAAATTCAATGCCAGAGAGAGCCTGTTGTGCCAGATAGGGTCAATGGAACAAAAAAACAAATTTTCAATATAAAAATATTGACTCCTGAGTTCTATCCCTCTCCATTTTGAACACCATCTTTTTTATGGATACCACAAAGTTTCTTAATCTGACCACTCCTCCAGCATGCAAGAGCCAAAACCATGGTGCCATGACACCCCCGAAGTCCTTCTCTCTCCACCTCGGTTTCATATTCTTACTGATCTTCAGGGCCCCTCAACTCCCTCCTGACTATTACTATTATGGTGACCTGGTCCTCACCCAGCCAGTTTCTCCTCACTATTTCTAGTCAATTCACCCCACAATCTATCTCTGAAATCTCCCTTCATGATAAGTGCCCTTCTCTTTAACTCTATAATTGATAAATCCATGTTACAAGCTATCAAGATGAATAAGCTTAGTGACTTAAATAATGAGTGTTTTCTCAGGGATCATCTGCTAGATGGGTAATTATCTGAGAATTGTTTAGTTATCTTGAGGAAGTTTATTATGGGAGGTTCATTACTTTTTTATAATTAATCTATCCTCTTTTATTTAATTTTTAATTAAATTAATTGTGGTGACAGTGGTTAATAAGGTTACTATTAACCAAGTGTACATTTCTATGATACATGATCTGTATATTGCATTGTGTGCCCACAACCCAAAAATCACAGGCAATGAAATTTCTTACTTCACTAAAGTCTTCATAAGTAATGTGTTAGTGATGCTTCCCAGTTACAACTTTGCAATGAGTGTCAGCAAATTCTTTGATGACTATGAAGTAAAAAGACTGTGTACCCAAGAAATTCAAAACGTCTATGTGGACTGCAGGAAAAAATGTGAGTATTGGGACTCCCCATGTTGTTAACCACAACCTATTCCTGTCCAGACTTCCAATTAAGCTTAGATAAGAAAATCAGAAAAACCTGTTTATCCTCCAGTGGATAGGCTTGCCATTTTGAGTGTTGAGTGTTTTGTGTACCAAAGTTACTTTCACAGACTGGGCGGGGGAGGGAGGGATGAAGCCTCAAAATAAAATCCAAGGTAAATTTCATGAAGTCACAACCAGATTTTGAATGAATTACTACTAGTACTCACTCACCTACTATGTGAAAATAGCTTAGCATTATTTTGAATATTCCCAGCACTCTTTGAGTTAGCTAATATTATCACAGTTTTATTCCCAATGAGGAAACTGAGCTCCTTACTTAAACTGGATATTAAATAAGTTCCCTGGGACACTACGCTGTAAGTGTCACACAGATAAAAGAAAGGCAAATTCCCAGAAAAATCAAAATGAGGAAAAAAACAAATGCATTCTATTAAATTTTCATATTTTAGGCTGATTTCATGTTTCAGACTGATTCTAAAAATTTATAAGCCTATTTACTGTGTGTGTATAATTTGTTGTAGAACCAAATAATTTATATGCAGCCACAGAAAGAGAAATGTAATTTTATTTTACTAAATCAGTGCAGGATAAAATATAATTATTAGGGTCAAATAAATTATATTTTCTTACAATCTCTGAATAATAAAAATTTTGTCATATTTTAGTTTGCATCATATTTGGATTGTAAAATCCTCTCTCTGCTTTTTAAAAATAGCTCTATTGAGTTATTATTAACATACTGTAGTCACCAGGTTTAATTAACCTGTTGGATGGAAGCGGGGGAGGGCTTGTTGGACAGTGTTTATAAAGTCTATAGTAGTGGTCCACACTATTATTGAATTAAAAATTTAATTAATTTATTTCATTTATTATTTTAATTCACTGCTCTGACCCTCAGCTTCCCCTGTGTTGTGTATTCCTCCTAATGTGTTCTTTATAGTGTTACTAGTATGTCATTCTTTATTTCTGACTGGTCTTTTTCCATAGTTACTATATCTTCCCTCATGCTGTTGAGCATCCTTGCCATCATTATTCTGATCACTATATCTGATAAATTTATTATCTCCATTTCATTTAGTTTTTCTTCTGGAGAATTCTCTTGTTCTTTCATTTAGGGCTTACTGTTGTTCTTTGTCTTCCCATTTTGGTTGCCTGCTTGGGTTTGTGTCTATATACTAGGTAACTCTGCTATGACTCCCAATCTCTAGTGCAGGACAATGTCAGATGCTGTGTGTAACCGGCCCTGAGTACCCTCTTTGGAGCTATCAGCGACCCACAGCTAGCGGCTCCCTCTGCTGGGGCTGGGTGCCTTTGGAAAGGAACAAGATATGGATCTGGGTTAGCTTTTCCTAGCCCTGGGTCCTGACTTATATCAATGACTCAAGAGTCTCTGATCTGCCTCTACCTGCAATCCGATTTTATTCATTCTTGATTAGCCTTAGGCTATTGCCCACCGGCTAAGGAAAGATATTTTCCAACAGGTTGGGGCAACTTCTTCCCCCAAATGCAAAAGCTTCCTGGATGGTAAAGGTCTGCCCGAGAATGATGTCCTCTGGAGTATGAGGGGATGACTCAGCACTGGAAACCCGGGTGTCTGCCTTTGAGGTCTAACCCCAAATCTAGATTCTGCTCACACAGCTCCAGTCCACTATACCCTCCCTCTGCCAGAGCCCAGATGTGTGGGCCTTCTCAGTTATGGTTCTCTAGACTGGGAGGCCCAGCTTTGGGGTTAGACCCCAGAGTTCTCAATGAGAAACCCTCCCTCCTAGATGAAATATCTCTCTGGAACTTCAGTTGCTGTCTATGGAGCGTGGCCAGCCCTTTCATGCCTCCTCCCCTCCTACCAGTCCCTATGTGACTCTACTTTATGTCCTTAGTTATTATGGTTCTCTCCAGTTAGTCTTCAGTTGATTATTCAGGATGGTTTTTCTGTATTTTAGCTGTAATTTCAGTTTAGTCCTGGGAGTGTGTCAGTGTAGCTCCCACTTACTCTGCTGCTATTTTAAGGGTGTCTTTTGAAGCATAAAAGTTTAGAATGTTGAAGGGGTTCAAGATGGCTGCAGAGTAGATGGAAGTTACACTTGCTTCCTCCCAGGACCATATCAGAAGAGTAGCTAAAGTATGGGAAAATCAACCGAATAACTATCTGAAGACTAGTTGACAGAAGTGTTATAACTAAGGATTGAGAGTAACATCCAACAAAACCTGTAGAAAGGGAAGCGCCACAAAAAGGCTGGCCCTACACCAGATGTGCTAGGAGAGAATCCAGAAGGATATCTCAGGTAATAAGATTCCCCCTGGAGAAGGGAATGGCCTCGGCCCCAAGCTGGGCTCCCTAGCCTGGAGACAGAGAAAACGAGCAGGAATTTAGCTTTCCCTGGTGAGAAGGGAAATGGCTTTCTTAAAGGGCCAGTGCATAGAATTTCAGTCACATCACTCACTCTCAGCTCTAGCAGGGACAATAGTGGCTCTCAGTAGACCAGAGTCATAAAAAGAGAAATTGCATGGCATTGCTAATGAAAGAGAGCTGGCGTGAGAGCAGCAGGTACCCTGTGCTGGGTTGGGTTCCTTGCCCATCTAACTCATAGATGTCATCTTCAATAAAAACATCTCAGGCCAGAAAGAATGCTATAAAATATTCAAGGTGATGAAAAACAAAGGCCTACACCCAACAATACTCTACCCAGCAAAGCTACCATTTAAAATTGAAGGAGAAATAAAGAGCTTGCCAGAAAAGAAAAGGCTAAGGGGGTTTATTACCACCAAACCAGTAAGAAAAAGGAAAACAAAAGAAGAGAAACATAATTATAAAAATAAATTGGCAATAAATACATACAAATTAATAGTCACTTTAAATGTTAATGGATTAAATGCTCCAATCAAATGACACGGGGTACTTTTGGCCAGTGTGCCTCAATTGGTTGAACCATCATTCCATGAATTGAAGGGTGGGGGGGGTTCAATTCTCATTCAGAGGATAAACCCAGGTTATAGATTCAATGCTCAGTTTAGGATGTGTATTGGAGGCAACCAAATGATGTTTCTCTCACACATCAATGGTTATCTTTCTCTCTTATTCTCCCTTCCTCTCTCTCTTTCTAAAATCAATTTTAAAAAACTTATACTTGATCAAAAAGCAACCATGTTTGTTACATTTGTTGCTTGGTGTTAAAAAAAAAAAGAAAAGAAAGAAAGAAAGAAAAAACGTCTTCTTGAGTGAGGATTTTTTTAAAAGACACAGGGTAACTGAACAGATAAGAAAACATGACCCATATATATTCTATCTACAAGTGACCCTCCCAGGAACAAGAGATTCACACAGCCTTAACCGGTTTGGCTCTGTGGATAGAGCATCAGCCTGTGAATTCAAGGGTCCCAGGTTCAATTCCTGTCAAGGGCATGTACCTTGGTTGCGGGCATATCCCCAGTAGGGAGTGTGCAGGAGGCAACTGATTGATGTTTCTCTCTCATCGATGTTTCTAACTCTCTATCCCTCTCCCTTCCTCTCTGTAAAAAATCAATAAAATATTTTTTTTAAAAAAAGATTCACACAAACTGAAAGTGGACAGATGGAAAAAATATTCCATGAAAATGAAAATTTAAAAAAACAATGCCGGGGAAGCAATACACATATCTGACAATACAGGCCTCAAAGCAAAGGCCATAATAAGAGACGAAAGCAGGCATACACAGGGAGAATGCCATGGAAAGATGAAGGCAGAGGTTGGAGTAATGCAGCAGAAGCCATAGTACTGGAAGTCCTAGCCAAAGATTGGCAGCAGCCACTGGAAGCTAGGGGAGAAGCCTGGAACAGATTCTTACTCACAAACTTCAGAAGGAACAAACCTGTCCACACCTTGAAGGACTTCTAGGATCCAGAATTATGAGATAGTTTCTATTGTTAGACTTCCCAGTTTGTGGCATTTTGTTTGTGGCTGCCCTAGTAGACTAATAAAGCATACCAGGGATGAAAAAGAGACAAAAACAGACCATCACATAATACTGAAGGGAATTTTACCAAACATTCAAAGAAGAACTAACACCTATTTTCCTCAAACTATTCAAAAAAAAAATCCAAGAGGAGAGTACACTTCCAGGCCTTTTTGATGAAGCTAGCATTATCCTAATGCCAATGCCAGATAAAGACATTACAAAGAAAGAAAATTACAGGCCAGTATCCCTTATGGGAACATACTAGTACATGCTAAAATACTCAGCAAAATATTAGCAAATTAGAACCAGCAATACATTAAAAATATCATGCACTATGGCCAACTGGAATTTATTATGGGAATGCAATAAATTGGTATGATATTCACAAATCATTAAATGTGCTACATCACATAAACAAAATGAAGAATAAAAATTACTTGACCATATCAATAGATGAAGATAAGCATTCCACAAAATCCAACACCCATTTATGATAAAAAAAAAAAACTCTCAGCAAAGTGGGACTAGAGGGATCATAACTCAACATAACAAATGTCATATATTAAAAAACCTATAGCCAACATCATACTCAATGGGCAGTTATTCAACATAATACTGGGAGTCCTAACCATAGCGGTCAGATAAGAAGAAATAAAAGGCATCCAAATTGAAAGTAAGTAAATTGTTACTATTCACAGATGGCATGCTATTGTTCATAGAAAACCCTTAGGATTCCACCAAAAAACTATCAGACCTAATTCAGCAAAGTAGCAGAATACAAATTTAATTCACAGAAATCAGTGGCGCTTTTATACATCAATAATGATCTCTCAAAAAGAGAAACTAAGAAAACAATCCAATTTACTATTGCAACAACAACAACAAAAAATAACGTACCTAGGAATAACTTAGCTCAGAAAACTATAAGACATTGAAGAAGGAAATAGAGGAAGATACAAACAAATGGAAGCATATACCATGTTCATAGATTAAAAGAATTAACATCAGTAAAAT